GTGTCCAGACCGAACGGACTACTAAGCAGTCCATTCGGTCTGGGTTTCGGATTTAATTTTAAATCCCGGATCTAGGGTTAATCACTTGAATAAGAGGAGAAATAGAACCCTAACACTAAGGGGCCGACCTAGAGAACTTCTTAAGACCCTTTTGGAGAGTCTAGAGGGTCGAAAGAGTGATCTTAATCTCTCTTTCTCAAAGCACATCATCGAATAGAAGATTCGTGTCCTAGCAGACAAGTTCCAAAGGTTGGAATCCATCCGGAGGTGGGATACGTGTAGAGGGCGAGGTATTCTTCTTGCCTATAGTGATCGGACGAACACATCAATTGAAACAGGCCCCAGATCGATTGAGGTAAGCGTTCTAACGTTTCTACAAGATCATGCATGATAGGTTTTAGGGTTTTATCAAAATTTTTGTTTTATATCCGCTGCGCAAACCCTAGAACCGATCTCTTAGGAATAGGATTCGCTCATGAGATCCCAGGAAAACCCAACAATCTGGACAAACCACTAGTGTTAGGTTCAAAGGGACAACCGAATTGTGGGGGGTCGATAGGATCACTCGAGACTAATGTTTCTTCACATTCCTATGATAAGAGTGATATAAATTGGTAAGGTTGAGTTTATACTCTTAAAGATTCTTTTATCTCCTACGAGAGTGGAGTATAATTAGATACTCTCAAAGAGAAATCTCCTATATTAAGTATGAAGTGGGCCGCTTCTATGAAAATGACAAAATTGCTAGTTCTCTAGAATACTTGATGAAAACTACCAGGTGTTGTTCCAGGGCCATAATGGACGCAACAAATGAACTAATAAGAGAGAGGGGGTACTGCGTGAGTACTGTTGTCTTGGTGTACATAAAAGCTGAATAGTTCAAGATATCGCGTTCACTGTCTACTAAGCACATCCAATAGTATTTCACTACGGAAGGTTCAAAGGTAAAACTACTTTTTCGGACATAGTATACTCTCAATGAGTGAGCTTTGCATTGCATATCATCTGCATACAGTGCATTAGTTGCATGAGATGCATTTAGGTTTCACTTAATGCAAGACCCTATTTTAATTCTTGTGGGGGATTAATGGATTTGGGTTTATTTGATAGAATCAAAACGGGCCTAGTCCATGAGAAGTCCAGTCCATGGAGGGTTCTGTAAACCTTGATGGAAAAGCTGTAGATTAATGAGAGAATTTCCTTGATTAATTGCAAAATCAAATCGTAATAAAATCTGCAGAAAATCCATTGATTATGGTAAGTATCAATCAGAATAATATCAAATTGGAATCTGATTGATTCTATACATTAATGTGATATACTCCCCCCCACTAGTATAAATAGAGGTCTTGGTTAGATCATTTTACACACCACAAGAAAACAAAGCATTCTTCATCTCTACCCATATCTCTCTATGAGTTCGCTTGGTATTTGGGAAAGCTTCTCCCGAATACGCGGTCGTTGTATTCTGGGCGTTCACCGTGCTCCAATAACCTCGAAGCTTTAGAGGTGGCACGGAAATCGAACTTAAGAAAACTGTGTTTCACAGGCCTCGACAATAATCTTTTATTGCAGGTTCTTATCGGAATCGTTCGAATCGCCGGAGTTTTGTCATCGTTAACAATCGTCGTCCCCAACACATCCTTCCCTTGTTACATCCACCACTGAAGCTGATTTCAGAATCCACAGTAGCTATTGCTCCAATAAAATCAATCAACGACCCAAGCGGCACCCAATTGTCATGCCAGAAGAAAGTGTTCTTCACATCTTCTAGTTGAACCTTTTAGAAGTATCTCGCTAGATCCTTCATCTGCAACAACTTTTACTAAACTTATGTTACCTTATATTATCATTTGCATTGATTATACTTTATATTATTTAAAATATTTGAGTTAAACTATGATTTGATCGGATAATTCAACTGGTAAAAAATGAGAACAAATTTTTTTTCCAACCCAAGTTCGAGTCTCTATTTGGGGAGAGACAATTACATAGATTTTTCCGATTTTTTGAAAGATATAGTTAGACCAAAAATCAAATCGACTTCTAAATTATAAAACAATATAGATATATCATTGACCCCGATTTCTAATGTTATGTTGGTTAACCTTTACCAAAAAAAAATATCATTGTACCACGGAAAAAAAAAATGCATGGGCAGACACCACGGTGTGCGCCCTCATAATATTAAAACGCTGAGATGTTTACCAATGGGTTATTGGGCCGACAAATACGACACTTTTCTTCTCTCTTTCTCGAGTCTGTGTTCGTCATTAGATTGTAATCGTGGTTTTGCTTTCTCGCTATACGGAGATCTCTGCAACCCTAATAGCTGTTCAGAGATCAGATACCACCTGAAGGATTAGCCATGGAACATGCAGCTCGGAGGAACCAGAGAGGCCCCTTCGAAGGGCTTTACAGATTCATCATGCGCCGTAACTCCGTCTACGTCACATTCATCATCGCCGGCGCTTTCTTCGGCGAACGGGTGAGATTCAAGGCTTGTTTTCGTTTCCTGATTTCGATTTCCCCATTCTGTGTTCTCGAATCTGGTTTCTGTATGGTTGAGGGAACGGGAATTTGTTTAGCATAGCAACGAACATATGGTGAAGAGATGTGGATCGTTGAATCGAATAACTTATTTCCTTTACGGAGCTCTCAAGTACGAATTTATTGGCAATTTGTTTCATCAGAAAATGCTTGAAGGGTTGGATTCTTCTGGGCTCTTCAAGAGATAACAATATTTTTTTGTTAACTAAGAGATAACAATATTGGTGTTGATGATAGTTAATGGATGCTACGTAGATGCATAGAATTGTTCTCTATCATGATCTTTCCTGTGAATCTGCGATTATGAAGGATCTGTTTTCACTGGTAATGTGAGTATTTTGGATGCAGGCTGTGGATTACGGTGTTCGTAAGCTCTGGGAATCGAACAATGTTGGGGTATGATAATTTTTCGTTTTGATTTTACCTCTCTGTTGTATTTCCTGTACCTCAATCCCGTATCATGTTCTAAATTTCTGGTTATGAAACCATCTGCGTATCAATGTTGTCATATCTTGATCTTGATTCTAAATTCAAGAATGTCTCTTTTTTGTTAGAAGCTAAGATGCTTTCCACTATATTCCGCTGCTACGGCCACGATTTATAGTTAAGATTTGTAGTTTGAGGTATTTCCTGTATGCTGTATCATGTCCATTTATGCCATCCGAATTCTGAAATGTTCTGGATTTCTGGTTATGAAACCATCTGCTTATTGTATCTTGATCTTGAACTGTTCTAAATTCAAGAATGCCTTCCCTTATTTGTAAGAAGCTACTATCGTTTCCACTATTTATAGTTAAGATTTTAGTCTGAGGAACTAAAGCGTCGATGCCCTTGTTTTTCATCAGTCTTTTTCACCGTTCTTGATTAGAGAATAGTCTCGGTTTCCTCACGACTTTGTTGTATCTCTTTTTCATGGCCTTATACTTACCGAGGAGGTTCTTGAATCTCTCAGCTTATATACTTTAGTATTTAGGTAGGAGATATCTGTTCTGGGAACGAATCATAGCTGGTAAAATTGTTTACTGGCTCCGAGCCGGCAGCTCGTAATACGTATTCTCATTTTTAGTTCAGTCGAGGCTCTATGCATATAGTTAACACCATGGGTATTCTCTTTTGTAGATATGTTATCATGATGCAGAATGATGTTCAAAAGTGTAGTATGAAAAACTGTTTCTTGATATGTTCTTAGGATTTTCGGCCCAAATGATTTATCTGCAAACTTGAAATGCCTTATATATACACACTTGTATCACGGTATGACAATGCTTGTTATATTACGCAGAAACGGTATGAAGACATCCCTGTGTTGGGGCAGAGGCCGACGGAGGAATGAGAGATCTTTACTTCAGCCGACCAAGAATTGAGATCTCTGCACATTTTTCTTTCTTTGCAATAATTTGTTGGGATGATCCTAAAAGCTTGGTTCTTGATTGAATGAATTTTTGGCTTTGTTCCAATATCATCTGTGTGTTACATCATTTCAAACCAACTTATAGTGAGCTCCATGATTCGTGGTGTTCGGACTTAGGAGTGACGTGGGTCTGAGAGTACCCGAGTTTTTCTAGGTATCTGGCCTCAACTTGAAATGCCTGCACGATGGTGATGGTGATGGTGATGGTGAGGGTGAGGGTGAGGGTGAGGGTGAGGGTGAGGGTGAGGGTGAGTTTCCTTATGGAAGCCATCATCATCTCTCTAGCAGTAGGGTGGTTAATTTGGTTAACAACTAAATGATTGTTTACCAATTCAATTCGAGTAACATATATTCGTAATTGAACTGAATTTGATTCAAAATCCGAAGATTTTTCTAAAAGTGAAAAATTCAGACCAAACCAAAAATGCAAAAGTCAGAGTTTGAATAGAATTAGAATCCAATAGAATTGGTTGGATACTTGGATCTGAATTAGATTTCAAAATAAATGATTATAATTTTTTGTAAAACTGAAGTAATCGAATCCGAATCAAAATTGAAATAGTCACCTCCAGTCATGTAAAAGTAGAAAATCGGACGATAGTCCAAACTACTTGTGAATTGGTCTGATTAACCCAATTCGGTAATGACATGTTTTTTAGATTTGCATAAATGAGTTAAGAAAAAAAGAACTGAGGAACAATTGTCTAATGCTCAACATGGAAAGAAACATCATCCATGTTTTATATAATAAAAAAAACATCATCCATGTTGGAACAGACGGAATGAGAAACGTGACATAATTGAATAGAAACCTTTCTGCAATAATAATAAACGTCTTGCAAGTTTTGCAGCTAATGAGTATAACGTTGTTTTGTCAAGGTCAATCAATTGATGGCGAAGAACATCTACTGATCGGTGTGGAGAACCCCTCCATATATTTGCACCGCAAATATCTAAATTTTATGTTGATAGAAAACGCGATAACGAAGGATGAGGAGATAGAGACGAAGAAGAAGACAATCCTCTTGTTGTATCCTTCATCCTTGTGTTTGTCTGTATAGAAATTTAAGTGTGCTTTTTTGTAATCGGGTATTATGTACCAAGGTCCAGACTAATCCGGTACCGGGAGCCAACCATGTGCTTGAATTATACATTTCCCTCTCCAAACTTGATATTCGAACTCGGGACATGATAAACATTTTGTGTCCCCGTTTCACCTGTTGAACTAGCCAAGTTTGGGTTAGAAATTTGAGTGTTTGGATGTTTGATCGAAAGAGAAAGCAAAAACAGAAGCTCGGTTTTGGGGGTGAATTTTCAGAAAAATATTCACTTATTCCCAAGCTTAACATGTACAGCATTCAGGTTTGATTATATACAAAGAAAAGGAAGTAAATCACATACAAAAGGAAACACATGTATATGTAAACGGTAACTTGCAGATTTCCTTCTGTGTTGTTGCTGAGTTCGTGACGTGTCTGAGTTTGTGTCGTTCTTGGTCATGACCGTGGCTGATTCTTCCTCGTTTGTCCTTGTGTTCGTTTCAGGCTCGTCAACAGTCTGTGCTCACGGAGAGGCTAATGCTGCTCACACTCATGCCGCTCCCAAAAAATGGCTATCATAAAAATAACATTATATGTTATTCCGGTTCGGATAATTTAAAATTTTAGGCACATGTCTGTCCCTGAACCAAATTGAAGGCTAGGACACGACCAAGAGAGCCAAAGTTAGAAATAGAGATCAAGAGAGAGAGAGAGAGAAAGAGAGAGGGAGAGATGAAGTCTATAAATAGCGGAGACAGATCGGTTATGCCAGGCAAAGAGGAACTAAACTAAACGAGGCATCTTATATCCACATGTTTAAATTAAGAGTATTTGTATAATTACGGATTTAGCCAATTTTATCCTCTTGTCAATCATTCTTTTAATACATAACCCCATTTTCTCTTTTTCTTTTTTTCATCTACTTAGGATTAAGAAAGAAGAAGAAGATGATGATGATGATGATGATTAAGCTCTCCTTCTTCTCCTTTGCTTTGCTCCTCTGCATTGCCTCTTCAAATGCACGTATGCCCTCTCTCTCTCTCTCTCTCTCTCTCTCTCTCTACATATATATATATATATATATATATATATATATATAGCCTTTTTAATTCAATATTTATGTTTTCATCAAAAAATATGAATAACGTTTTTTAAACCCCATGTTATATGATTTCATCAGATATATTTCTTGTAATTGTAATTTTGCCTAAAAATATGGCAAAAAGGGGAAATTGGTGGGTTTTTTTTTTACCGAAATTATTTTAAGAAAATTGAATTTTTTGTAAGACCTTTTTTTCCCATATATATGAATCCCTTGAGCAAAAAAAAAAACGCCTCAATTTGTTTTGGTTAATATATTTTTTAAAAATTAAACGCATTACATATAGACGTAGGCGTACGATGTTTTTAAAAATGTACAATAAAAAGCGACATGTTTTTGTAGTGGATTAATTATAACCCTTTGCTTTGGACGTAGTCTCTCATAGGGGTGGGCAAAATATCCGAAAAATCCGAACCGATCCGTTATTCGATTCGTATCCGAACCGAAAATTCGGATATCCGGAGTTTACGGATCGGATACGGATATTTCTTTAGAGATATTTGTCGGATACGGATCGGATACGGATATTAAAATTGAATTATCCGACATATCCGATCCGATCCGTATTTTGTAATAATATTATTAAATATAAGAATAATTTCATATGGAGATTTAAAATGCTTAATATTTACACGTTTTTAAGGGTGATTCAAAAAAAATTTTATATATATTGAGGTTTATAATTTTAATCTTTTGAATATTAAGATTTATTATGTTTAATGTTTTGAATTTTGAATTTTGAATATATTTGTATGTGATAAATTATAATTATATTTGTATTTGAGTTGATTTGGAATGTTTAAATTATGAATTTTAAATTTGTGAATATCATTTATCTTAAATAGATTATATATTTTATTTACATTTGAATTTATTATTTAATTTAAATTTAAAATTTTATAATATTTTAGGTCGGATACGGATATCCGCAAATATCCGTGATTTTTACGAATATCCGAAATTGCAAATATCCGAAAATTACGGATCGGATACGGATAACAAAATCGAATATTTGTGCGGATCGGATACGGATACGGATATCTCAAAAATCCCGGATATCCGATCCGTGCCCACCCCTAGTGACTCTCAAATTAATTTTCAAAAGTAGTGAAAATATTTTTGGAATTTGGATATTTACTCAATTTCACATGAACAGAAAATCAAGGGGTAGGGTTTGGGTATGGAGGCACAAATGGACCAAACAAATGGGGAGCCCTAAGTCCTTACTACAGCAAATGCTCCGCCGGGAAATTGCAATCTCCGATCGATATTCCGAAGAAACAGACTTTCTACAGTCGGAGATTGGGATCGCTAGTCCGCGATTACCATCCCGCAAACGCAACTCTTGTCAATCACATCTTCAATATCGCGGTTCGTCTCAAAATCTACCATTTCTTTATTTTATGATAGGAATTTTGTGTGTGGGAAATTGTTATCTGAAACTCTACTTCCAAACATATATACATTTTGATCTAAGCAAATGAATGCAAGTTATTTGAGTTAGATGGATGTGGAATCTTACCCTCATAAGCAAAATGATAGAAAGGTTTATTTTTTTAAACAAAAATAATTACATAAATTAAGATTTGATTATGGTGACGATGTTAATGTATATTATATGTTATGATTGACATATATATAAAAAAAATTGTAGATGTTTTTTGGGAAAGGAGCAGGAGATATGGTGTTGAATGGCAAGAACTACACTTTAAAGCAAATGCATTGGCACACTCCTTCAGAGCATCTCATCAACGGTGTCCAGTAAGTCTTTTTTTTAAAAAAAAAAATTGAACTATATATATATATATTTATATGCTCCTTGTTTTAATAATCTCTAGTTACCCAAAAATTTTAATTTTAATTTTTTTTATTTTACATGTACATAAAAATATACAGTATTTGAGAATTGAGATTCTCAAAATAAATGTGTGCCCATTGGGCCAACTGCATTTCATAGTCATTAATGGGTCGACTCATTATAAATGGGCCGAAATCCATGATTATATGTATTTATTTAATAAATGGCGCTGGCACTATCAATATCTTTTCAACATAATTTACAATGAGGGCCTTACATTTACTAATTCGAACTAAACCGAAAAAGATCAAACCAAATTTGATGATTGGATTTAACACAATGCATGATAGATCTTAGAGTTTACGTGTTATGTGATCTAATAATTAGACAAAATTAATTTATGGATTGAAAAAAGATTTATAAAGCATAGAAGTATGAATAGTGATGATTTTTTTTTTGCTTAATTAAAAATATTAATAAAAATGGGAATGTAGATACGCAGCGGAGCTCCAAATGGTCCACCAAGCACAAGATGGGGACTTTGCCGTCGTCGCTACACTCTTCAAACTCGGAGATGAGGAGCCTTTTCTCACTAAGGTATATTTTATTTTATTATATTTTATTTTAATCCGATATAATCATATACCATTTTAAAACGTTTTTGCATCAAATTATCCATTGCCTTTTGCAGTTATTTTAATCTGTATTCTGACTCGGCTAAAAAAAATTGTATTTTTGTAAAAAAGAATGACAAATTTAAACTGAAAAATATTTGGTTTGGACTGTTTTTTTTACCTCATTTGTTAAGAAATCTGTCATTTAAAAAATTAATCTATTTTCGATTCGATTTTTTAGTTTTCGGATTAATTGAATAAATTAGGATTGTAAAAAACTTACACAAGTTAGCTTCAGCATTTAGTTTAAATATACAGTTTTCTGGTTTGAAGTTGTTTATAATTTCGGGTAAAATAATGATGATGCTTTTAAAAAATAATTATCCGATGATTAGATGAAGGAGAGATTGGAGAGGTTGAGAGAGGACAAATGTGGGGGGAACACAACGGGACAAGTAGAGGTGGGGGAAGTAGACACAAAGCACATCGAACGCAAAACTCGCAAATATTTCAGATACATTGGTTCCCTCACTACCCCTCCTTGCTCCCAAAATGTCTCTTGGACCATCCTTGGCAAGGTAAATTTTATTTTATTATTACTATACTACTAATACATTATCTTATATATATATGGCACATTTTCCATATGACAAAAAAAACTATAATAAAAATATTGGCTTATACATATGTATGTATGCATGCATGCATGCAGGTGAGATCATTGTCGGAGGAACAAATGCAATTACTAAAAGCCCCATTGGACATTTCTTACAAGAACAACTCACGACCAGTTCAACCCCTCAATGGTCGCAAAGTGGAGATGTTTCACGAGCTCGCGGATAAGACTGACGACGACAATAACGAAGTTCGCAATTAAAACGTATAATCAATGTATTGATTGAGATTTGAGACCCAACACCCAAACGAAAAAAGAAATCCAAAATATGGTATAAACCCTAATCTCCTTTGTATTTATTGTGTTGTACCTCTACGTACTAGATTTAGGTTTCCCCATGTTTCGTGTGTTATGTCGTCGGATCGATGCAACGGGAGATGCCTATGAGCTTTTATATATGTAATTATATATGTATTGTTTATATTTATTTTGATCTTAAATTTGTTATGTACGTTAGGGATGGACACGGATCGGATATCCATAAATTTTTAGATATCTGTATCCGTATCCGATTCGTGCAAATATTAAGTTTTATTATCCATATCCGATCCGCAGTTTTCAGATATCTGTTATTTCAAATATCCGTAAAAACTGTGGATATTTGCAAATATCCGTATCCGACATAAAAATAATAAAAAAAGAGAAATAAAAATCCTAAAAAATCTCAAAAACATAAATAATATATATAATCTATCAAGTACAAACAATATTCAAAGTTCAAAATACATAACATAATCATCTTAAATCAATTAAAAAACAAACACGTATATAGTTCATCACACACCAACATATTCAAAGTTCAATTTCAAAATATTAAAGATAAAAAAAACATCCATATGTGGAGAACGTGTATTGATATTCACAAAAAATCTGTAAAGAAAATATTTTAAAATATAATATAAATCAATTAATTAATAAAAAAAAGTATGTATATTATGTCTTATTTTACCTTACTATTATTTTTCAAAACTCGTTAGTTACCAAATCAATCATCCGAATTTAGTATTGGTGATTCGAACAACTCGATTACCTCTTCTAAAACAAAAAGAGAAAGGAAAATATATTAGAACCACAAATAAGACAATTAATAAACATAATGATACTTAACATATTACATACCAATTTCTGTGTTTGCAATCTCTTCCAATATTTCTTCAATATCACTCGATCCATCGGGAGAACGAAGCCAATTTTGTATGCAAATAAGAGATTCAACCATCTTCGGAGTGAGACGACTACGATATGGACTAATTACATGACCACCGGTACTAAATGCAGACTCTGAAGCAACTGTCCATACCGGAATAGCCAAAAGATCTCTCGTCATCAAGGAAATAATCTTATACTTTGAACTCGTCGTGTCCCACCAATACAAAATATCAAAGTATTGAACATTATCTTCACATTCTTCAGACAAATACTTCTCCAATTCTGATTTTACTACACTTCCATAAATATTACGTTTCAAATAATCATGAAACAACCAATGATCAACACCATCCATGCTATTAGCACTCAACACTTCATTTCCACTTGATTGACTCATTTCAATGGAATCGGTAGGCTGAACAAAGCTAGTCTCATAGCTTTTAACATCTTTTGTAATATTTTTTCAATGATCTCCAACAATTCTTTAGCTTCATGCTCCATATAAACTTTCTCAACAGCCCAACTTATCCACTCCATCTTGAGACGTGGATCAATAATAGTTGCAAGATAAACCAACGGATTTACTATTTTGTAATCCCCCAATACTTACGAAACTTATCTATCATTTTCAATGCAATTGAACGTATCATCTCATTTTCGCTCATACTCATCACTTTATTGCGCACTCTCACTATAAATATCTCTTTCATATATAAGTTTCCAGTCACATAGTGAGAACCTGAAATCTTCACAGTAGTATCATAAAATACATTCAGGAAAGGCAACAAAGCACTTACTTGTGACCAGTCTTCCTCCGAAGGTACAACTTTTCTATTCTTTCTCAATTCATCCACATATTTATCATCATGCAACTCAAGCAAATCAAACGTTTTCTTGAATTTTAAAGCAGACTCCAACATAATATAAGTGGAATTTCATCTTGTTTCTACATTCAAATCAAAACGAGTGCTTGTATGGAGTTTTTGTTTTTTCAAACAACTTTTGAAGCATTGAAATCTCATAGAAGAAGATCTTACATAATGAACCACTGAGCGAATTTGGCAAAGTATCCATATCTTGCAAACCATCTTTCACAATCAAGTTCAATATATGAGCACCACAACGCATAGTAAGATATCACCATCTAAAACACATCCACCCAAACTTTTAGTCTACCTTTCAAGTATTTCATTCCCATGTCATTAGAACTTGCATTATCTACCGTAACAGAGAATAGTTTATCGATTCCCTAGTCAAGCAGGTACTTCTCAACTGTCTTTGCAATTACTTCACCAGAATGACTAGTTATTTGACAAAAATTGATGTTTTTTATTCCATAATAACCATTCATTATCAATGAAATGTGCAGTCAAAGACATGTAGCTAAAATTATGAGTGGAAGTCCATAAATATGTTGTAAGGCAAACATCACCCTTGTAACTTTTGAAAAACGCTTTCAGCCTAGTCTTCTCTTCCATATACAGATTCAAATAGACACAAACTAAAGTTCTTCGAGATGGTATTGAAAACAGAGGCTGAAGCGCATGCGAATAATCTTCAAAACCCTTTTTTTCTATATGTCAAAAAGGTACTCATCTACAATTATCATTCTCACCAAAGCCTTATGATATGTATCTTGATCAAATTGCACATAAGAGGGAACATTATCTACTTCATCAGATTTTCTTTTCAAACGATGATGCAAGGTTACTTGTTTTTTCATCTTCTCCCTGTGTTTCTCATCGGGTATATCACGCACTAAACGTGAACACGTTTTCGAGGGATTAAGCATTGCACTAGTTGTACTCCCAAAATGATCCCAAACATGTGATCGAGGTCTATGTACCTGGGAATCGGTGTTATCTCCACTTGCAGACACATACACAAATTTTGAATCATTTTCAATAGTCGGGGTTAAACTACTCGTTGGCGTAGTAGTTTCTGTCTTTGAATTTTCTGTCATGTACTCCATCTGAACACAAAAAAAAATAATCAAAAGAACAATGAGTTCCACTGTAAGTTATGATAGCCTAATTAAATCGGAGCTTAAATTTTTTTGGGTATCGGGAATAAAGAAAAGAGGCGAAGAAATTTAGTAATTTGTTCTAGGCCATGATCAATACGAGAAAGAAATTGACAGATATAGGAATCGCTTGTTTTGTTGGCTTTCCATAAAGAAGAAGAGTGAAAAAAGAAACTGATTTCCTTATACAAAGTGAAATGAACGAAGATAGTCCCTAAAATCCTAGAAGATGACGAGATTGTAACTTGAGACCGCCGATTGTCCAAACCTTTGGCAGAAAAATCCATTAACAAGGATAATAATCAATCGAGTGAGTAGAAAAATCGAAGAAGATAAAAGAGAGAACGTGATCGCCAAAATTATCATTTCACAAAATCTACTTACCTGAGAACCAAAAAGAAATTTCAGCAGAGAATCTCCCAGATGCAAGATAAAGAATAAAAAAAAAAACTGATGAATGAATTTGAAAGAAAGAGACGAACAGATAGCTGAAAAAGGTGGATGAGGTGTAAGTGAAAATGACAAGTTTCAGAAACCCAAACGACCCCTTTGAAAAGTGAAAATGACAAGTTCCACAAACCCAAACGACGTCTTTGAAAAAAACCCTAGTCTAGTACTTTTTTTATTCAAAATGACCCTACAATCATAACTATTTAAAAATTATCCTATATTTATTAATGTTTCTAAAAGATACGAATCAGACTGGATATGTAGAATAATTCGGTTTTGATATCCATATCCGATGCGTATCCGATAAATATTTTAAAAACAATATCCGTATCCGATCCGTAGATTCTGGATATCCGAATTTTCGGTTCAGATACAAATCGAATAACGGATCGGTTCGGTTTTTTCAGATATTATGCTCATCCCTAATGTATGTGTGTTTGTTGAAAGAGGAAAATAAATAAATAAAATGCATAAAAAATTTCTTTATTACTATCTTTTTTATGACAGTGGTAGTGGATTTCTCCCAACCCAGTGATGTCGTAAATCTAGGTGTATAAGATTCAACCAAGTAATAAAATCCTAGACTCAACAAATAACCGCAAGTGTACGGAACATATGTAGTTGTTAGGGTTGAACACAGGGACAAGGTAAACAATTGAATCAAACTCCTATCAGGAATAGATCTAAAGAATAATATGAATGGTGAGAATGTATCAAAAGCAAATATAAACAAACGATAAACTACCAATGGCAAAATACTGCACGCTACGGGATTGCTTTACATGTAAGGGTCTTTCGAAAGATGCAAACTCAGTTGTTTATCTATCCGATTCAGAGAATTCAAGCTCTAAACTAGAGATTAACCCTCTCGAGTCTAACCTCACTATCCAGGCTTTATCCTACTAATCTCTCGATTCAATAGTCTAAACTCTGGAGGTATGAACGAACGCTATCATAATCCCTAGGCAAATGTGACGCCCGTAACCCGTGTCCCGCTCACGCGTTGCGCCACATGGACGCCGAAACCATATATTAAAATAGCGGAAATTTTAAAAATATTTTATATTATACATACGCAGCGGAAATAAGTTTACACAATATATACCCACGTACAGTAGTCCGAGGAAAGAAAAGTACATGATCCATAAAACTCCTCACGCGTCACCAGTACCCTCGTCCTGTCGCTGCCAAAACTGCTCCGAGTCTGAAATGTTGCATAACAACGTCCATAAGCTACATGCTTAGTGAGTACTTCGGGTTAAACCCGAAGATCATACTCAAATTGCAAATGGCCAAGCACAACCAATATTATACACACACTAGATATAGGGGTATAACATATATACACACCGCATGCCATCAAACGAAGTTCACTCAATCGCACAAGTAATCATTTATCAAGCACACTCACACTACAAAAAAAACCCCAAATTCCAATCGGCAAATCCGTTGGAAATGGCCGAAAATCCGTTGGAATTCGACATTTCCAATAGATTTCCAACGGATAAATCCGTTGAAAAAACGTCGTTAGAAACTCGGATCCGTTAGAAATCCGTGGCAAATTCCAAACGGAATTCCAACGCACCAATTCGTTGGAATATTTTAACGGATTTCCAAAGGTATTTCCGTGGTAAAATTTCAACGGAATTCCAACGGATTGGTCTGTCGGAATATATCAACGGCAGATCTATGGCTAATTTCCGACGGGACCATTAGAATATCCGTTAGAAAATTTCCAACGGATTTACAACTGTTTTTGCCACGGCTATCTGTTGGAAACACCGTTGGAATCTTCGTCGAAATGTTACAACGGTGTTTACAACGG